CAACCATTTTTCTTATATATTTAGTTTTTCTTTTTCACGTTATTATGTTTTATAGGAGTTCAACTACTCACACAAAAGTGAGACATCTTGATTTTGCTTTTATTAAAATTAATAACATGAAAAAAAAATTAATGAGTTTGATGGACATAGTGTAAAAAAATCTATACAATTTTTTAATAAAAAATGATTAATTTATTAAATCATACACGTTAGTTTTAAAATATTAATATAATATAGCAGAATGTACATAAAAGTTATTTTGTACCGCAAGTGAATCTTCTATTTTTTTCAAAACTAAGAGTTTAATATACAGTCAGTGTATATTAAAATCATCAAATAATTATGACTTGTTTGTAGATACAAACAATTAGTTCCCATTTTGATTTTGGGCTATTTTTTAAACCATGGAGGATAAGCCCCAAATCTTAAAAAAAAAAAAAGTCTGTTGGTGATATATTTACTAGTAATTAAGGCATCACACGTTTATCTCAAAATTTCAAAATTTGTTATTGGTTTTGGATAGTGACATCCTATTTTATGATTATATTTATTTTAGAAGAATATACTTAAAACGATTTGATCACATTGTTGTTTTTAGTTGTGCAAAGGAACAAAGGTAATATAATTGCATAATAATAATAACAATGAAAAGGTTAAATATATTTTATGTTTTTATAAATATTTCATATTTTATTTTTAGTTTTTATAAAAAAAATGATATATTTTAGTCCATACAAAAATTTTATACATATAGTTTTAATTCTGGCTATTTTTAAAATTTTGAAAATTATTTAATTATTACTAAACTTTTAAATTTTTAAATAATTTTTTCATATGTGTTTAAATTACTATAAAATATTTTGTTACTAAATTATATAATTTTTTAAAATGAGAAGAATTAAATATGAAAATTTTTAAATTTCAAAAGATAATGAAAATTTTGAGTTTTTTTTAGGAACTTTTTTATAACGTTCTAAACATATTTACAAAATAATCATTGAAAAATACTCATTGGTTTAATAGTAGAAATTGTGCATAATTATTTGTAGGGATAAAAATAGACTATTTTTTAATAGTGACAAAAAACAAAATTTAATAATTTTATAGAGATAAAAAACATAGTTAACCCTAATAACAATACATATAAAAAATTGAAAATTTTATTTTAAATAACGACCTTTTTGAATTTATATATCTATATAACCACCCTTTTAAATAAATTGCTAAAGTAACCACTTTAAAAAAAATTAGAATAGATGCACGGCAAAATTGTACATATGTGTTATTGAGATAATGCATGTTTATAGTGATAGCAAAAGGAGTAGGTAAAAGTCTTTTTAGCGTAGGTATATCCTGAAATATATACCTATGACCCTTTGTCGTAAGTAAAAATTTATTTTGTGATAATTTGTTGTACCTACGGCTAAGTGTTGTGGATATAAGTATTTTGAGATATATTTATAGTTAATAAATTTTTACCTACATTTTTTCACTGTCACTATAAGTACGCGTCATTTAAATTGGCGCCTATGTACAATTTTATAATGAATGTATCACTTTGAATGGTTACTCTAAATTATTTTTTAAAAAGTGGTTACATTGATAATTTATTTGAAAATGTGATTATATTGGTATATAAATTGAAAAAAATGATTATTATAAAAGAAAATTCAGAAATTGAAAGGTCAAAATGCATAAATAAAAATGTAAGGAAATTATAAATTACAAACTTTATATAAAGTTCAATTGAAATTACAAAATTACAAATAACAAATTAGAATAATTATTTTTTTATTTAGT